TTAGCTTTGTTCTTGGAAGATTGTGAAGATATTACTTATGAAGACATCAGGGATACAGTTGTAAGGCATCTTACCAAACTCAAAGAGCGGTTCTCTGGTTACTTTCCAGATCTTGATTCACAAGCTGTCAGTTGGATTGTAGACCCCTTTAAATGTGAAATTGCTGTTGTACCAGAAGAGCCTCAAGGGTTGGCAGAGTCACTTCTTGAGCTTCGATGCAATAACGAAGCATGTATTGCATTTGAAAACAAAGCAGACCTGTCAAATGTTTGGATGTCAGCAGCTGCAAAGGCATTCAGAATTGCACATGAGGAGGCAGTCAAAAAGTTGCTGCCTTTTGCAACAACCTACCTTTGTGAACAAGGATTTTCCATTCTTACAAACATAAAAACAAAGCAGAGAAATCGATTGGACCCTGAAGACTGTATTCATATTGCTCTGACGTCAAAATGCCCCAGTATTGATGCTCTCGTATCCAAGATGAAGCAACATCATTTCTCCAAAATCTGAAGTTTTCAAGTAAATTGACAGTAATTTTGAATAGATTCAATAAAATTTTGAATTCAAATACTGTATCATTTCCTTCCTTTCAAATCAAGGGGGTAATGTCAGCTTATATAAACATTTTGGGGGGTAAAAGGTAAAAAAGTTCCCTGACCCCTGCTCTAACTACTGGGACGAGCAAGGTAGCAGACAAGCAGTCTCTTCACTGGCCAATGGTTAACTGAAAGTCCAAATTTCATGCTTTCCCCGCCTCCTCCGCGCATTTTTTTCCGTCCGTAACTTGAATCTCCAGCCGCAAGTCGAAGCAATGTTTTGTGGTTGCAGCTTTGTCATAACTCAATAATTTCCTAAGTAGGGATGTTCGTAAGTCGAGGCACCACTGTACCTAAATGGCAGTCCTATGATCTCTGAACAAGGAAAAGGATTCAGGCTGAACCCCACAGATTTGTTGAACTATCTTTGCTATCAATAGCCTTAGTTTTTATAGTCAGTGATGAGGAATGCTGAGAAATATAGTTCAACACATCTGATAGGTCACATTTTCCCAACCCCTGCTATACGTGATATGAACAGTAGCTAAAAAGGTGTTAAGTCTAGTTTGAAGATAGGCAATGACATATCCATAAGGCCTTACTGGGATAAAAAAGCATACTAGTGGCTCTTACACTGCTTATATGCCAAATGAGCAAACATTCCCTAGTTGCTGCAATCCATTTACTTACTTGCCAGGGTTCTAAAATCTCCCTGCTGTTGTTATGTTGCCACAGAAACCTTGCTGTGATGCTTCTGGTGCACTTGCTCCTGGTGCTTTGCACTTCAGATTGAAGTAAATGAAGCGCACCTGCCTCTTCCATGATATTGCCTGTCCTTTCTCATTATGCAGTCTGAGATCAGCTGTGAACACAGGTTAGAATTGCAGCAGATACATTTATGACCTCACAATTTCAAGCCCTGTTGTAAAGGTGTGTGCAAGAGAAATGTTTGAGGAAGCAAAGCTTTAAAAACCATAAAACTGGAACTGTTTAGCCTAACATGATCACCCAGTTCTTCTATGGTAAGTTGAGTTTTGAAGATGGTGGGCAGAGGCGTAGTTAAATTTGTGAAAAGGATTAGTTTTGACTAGGTTAACAGCTGGTTGGCTGCATAGCAAGCTGAGTAACTGAAGGTATAACGAGCTCACACAGCTGTATCTTTCATGTCCCTTTCCA